GTTTAATTTTAATGAAGACTTTTATTAAATAATTTCTACAAGATGAAATCTTCCCAAAATTAGGTAATGAAAATATCTCTAATTTATATATATAACCCACGTTATGGTTCAATTATTATTTTTTATTAAAAAGGTTAACAAATGACATATCTAAAATGTCGACAATTGAAAATCTAACAACTAAACAAAATGGTATAAAAATTAAGAAAATTAAAATTTCTATTATCCTGTTCTTCTTTCTGGGTTTTTTATTTATTAAAACCATGCAATGAGTGTTAATAATGATATCTGCATATTCCAAAGAAGGATTTAACTATTCTAAAATTACAATTTTAGATTATGCATCAAGTATGATGATTATTATTAGAACTTATAATAAATATAAATAATTTGAATTATATATTATTGTTATTATTATCAAATTATTTAATCCATTATTGTTATCCACATATATGATTAAAATTATTTATCTGATGATGATTACAGATTTTAGCTGCATACATTGGGAGAATATATTTTTTTTCATTCCTTTCTGTTCCCTAAAAGTAAAAAAAAGTGCTATCCAAGTGCAGTGTATTTTGGAATTCTACAGCAATTGAGTATTTAGCTCAATTATAAGTTGACTTCTCAGAACATCTTTATTTATGATGATAACTAAAGTTGATTAATATGGATACTTGTCTCATTATAACACACTGCTTATTTATAAATATATAATTTAGATATTATTTCCAAGCATACAATTCTAAAAATCACAAAGCAAACTCTACAAGCACTGGTGTTTAATTATTTACATTATATTTATACACTCATATGTTTTTTTTAATATATAATAAGCAAATATCCAAGATATATATTCTTAGTAGATGTCATTGCACTCATGAACTAAGAAAAATAAGTTAAAAAGAACCTAAAACACAGAGTGTTGAAAGTCTTTAGCAAGGAGATTGATGAATAAAGAGACGAAGATGATGTTAGATAGAAAGGAAATGGAGGAGGTTCATGTTCACGTTCACCAAACTGGAATGATTAAGAAAGGTGTGTTGGCTTTAAGCTAAGTTATGGCAGCCTCCACAAAGATGCTGCTGCTACTGCTAAAAGCAAGTAAAGTAGTGAAAAGGTTAAGTCTGAAATACTGTGCATCCGTCACCATTGATCGTCTCATCCTCTGCCATTTGTCTCTCTCTCACTCACTGCATGTATATAGAAATAATAATAATATTTTTGGTTTAGAATGAGAGAAGAGAATTTAACAGCAATTGTTTGTCTCTCTAGAAGATGATTCAGCTGATGAATAAGGAAAACCATTTGATGATGGTACTTTTATATCTCCTAGGTATGAAGAACAAAGGATGGCTCTAAGAGGAACCTATAATTTACACTTTCCCTACCAAGTACTTCAATCTTTACTATTTAAATCACCTTCTTTAATTACCTTCTTCTTCTTCCTCTTTCTCTTTCTCTCATGCTCTGACCCAGATGAGTCTAACTTTTAAGAGTTGCGGTAGACTCGGATCCTGTCCCCTCTCCTCAAATAATAATAATAAGTTACTAAAACAATCAACGTCGGTTTCGTCCTTCACAATTAATACTCATCTCTTATTACTGCACACTCTTTTTTTTTTTCATCTTTTTTATCTCATTTCTTCATTGTAAAAATACCTCATAACTATGTCCAATTCATTACAGTCACGTAGAGTTCAAGAATAAACAATTTTTTACATATTTTGCAAGAGTAAAGTGAGTTTTAATGCTTACTGATTCATTATTTCTTTTTGTATAATTTAGTAATATATATATTTTGAAGGTCTGTTTATTATTTTTGTATTAGGTAATGAGGGAGTAACGTGGCTGGCTGCCGTCAAATTTGTGAAAGATTAAATAGAGGGTGAAAAAGGTAAATGAAAAATAGATAAAAAGTGTTGCTTGTTGTGTGATAGAACCAAGCGAGACCCTTCTCTCATCCCTTCTGTGTCTTCTGTACACTTTGTTTTGCTTTTCCTTTATTCCTTTTCTCTCTCACTGTCTTCTGTGAACATGGGTGACCCATATGGGTTGCCGGAGGATCTCCGGCGTTTTATTCCACCCAGAACCCATATGAACCCTTCAAGCACGCACCTACTTGAGCCACTGTGTCTTCACCATGGTCTCAGTCCGGTTGCTGCTGCCACTACAATTCCACCCAACACCTATGACCACAACATGGTTGGGGACGTTTTCTTCCCTCGTGCCTTCACTCACTTTGCCCATCATCATGACTATTCCTCTTCTTCTGGTGTCAACCCTACCAATGCTGCCACTGCTGCTGTCTCGGATCATGCATTCTGCAGCATGGAGAGTGCAGAGAAAGGGTGGTTCGGTTTTGATTCCGGGAACAACAGGTGGCCAAGACAGGAGACCCTTTCGCTTCTAGAGATCAGATCTCGTCTTGATTGCAAGTTCAGAGAGAATAATCAGAAAGCACCCTTGTGGAATGAGATTTCTAGGTATATGTATATACTAACTTCTGAAAAAAAGGAAGAAAACCACTGTTTTTGCTTTCTGGTTTGTTTTCAGACTCAGAACGAGTTGGGGAAATGCATAGTGTGATTGATGAGTGAGGAGTGAAGAAATATGGTTGTTCTTTCTGTCTTTTCCTTTTATCTTGCTGGTTTACAATTTTTGGGGGGGTGGGAGGCTAATTTCCTCTTTGCATTTGAAAATGACAGGCCATTACTTACAGATAACTGAGAGATCCATGTGGCTTTGTTATCTATTTCTAGTTTTGTCCAAGAAATCCACTGACTCAATGTGTATACTTGCACTGGTTTTTCTGTGAGTAAGTAATTATGGGTGCAAGGATTTTCAGCACCCTGAAAGCCTGTCTTTGTTTTTAGTACTATTAGACCTAGCTAGCTACTTTGCTCAGCTAGTTAACTTAGGGCTATATATTGGAGTTTATTTTCTTGATTGAACTCGGATAATTGTATTGATGTTTCTGACATCTTTAATGAAGAGAGAATGTTTCTATTATTTTAATCCTTCAGCGGTTAATATACAATA